TTCTCATTCCAGGCATAGTAGACCATATAGTTGTCTGATTCAAAATGGCCAATACCAGTCCATTTCAGCTAACTAATGCCTAAGATAATGATTTTTATGCATTGTATTTCACTTTTTCCTTACAACTTCAGTTTTCCTAAATTCATACTTTGTACATTCCACATTCTGATTATTAATTGATGTTCATAGCTGTTTCTTCTCATTTTGAGTTATGTCCCACCAGCAGATGGAGGTCCCAAAAGCTTTACTCCATAAATATCATTAAGGTTGACTCTACTTTTAGGAGCCAGTTCTTCCCCAGTCATGTTTGGAGTGCCTTCCATCCTGAAGGGCTTATCTTCTTGCAGATCACATGGTGTTACATGCTATTCACAAAGTTTACAGTAGTCAGTATTTTCAGAAGTAGACTGCCTTGTTCCTCTTTCCTAACCTGTCTTAGTCTGAAGGCTCCGCTGAAATCTGTCCACCAAGGGTGACCTTGCTGGTATTTGAAATATCAGTGCGATAGCTTCCACCATCACAGCAACATGCAAGCTACTACAGTACAACAAACTGACAAAACAAGTGGTGGGCTCCAGTCAATAGGGTCAGAGAAAGAAGTACTGCTAATGAGTAGTTGGTGTTAGAAGAGAAACAGAGCAGAATAGAATTGAATTGGGTTGACTTGATGGATCTGATTCAAAGTGCTTGTTAAACAGATGTCTGGCTCTGCTTCCTGAGTTTCTCATTTAGTAGGACTGGTATAGGACCTGAGGAGATGTTGATATTATTGGTATAGATACCACACTAGTACAGGGAACTGCTAGTACTATAGTATCCAGACCCCAAAACCAAACCCACTGCTGTTGAGTTAATTCTTGCTGACAGCAACCCTATAGGACAGAATAGAACTGCCTCAAAGGCTGTAATCTTTATGGTGACAAGCTGCCATATCTTCCACATCTTTCTCCTGCAGAGTGGCTGGGTTTGAACTGCTGACTTTGCTTCACAGCCAAGTGCTTTAACCAGTGTGCAACCAGGACTCCTGAACTAGCGTATACTCTGCTTAATTTAACTTCATGACTCAGGGTCATTTAATCTACTAAGATATATTTGGCTCCTGAAGTATAGAGGGTTTATTCTTCCATAATGGTTCCAGGCTTTTGGGCTTTTTTAAAATCTGTATTTCTTTTTACTGTCTGGCTTTTATTGCTGTCATTCATTGTGCCACTAGTAAATCTTGTCTCACTGTAATTTTCTTGTATTAAGCTGTTGTGGCTGCGGTGGTGATGGGCTCAAGCATAGCAATTATTGTGAGGATGGCACAGGACAGGGCAGTGTTGTGTTCTGTTGCTCATGGGGTCGCTATGAGTTAGAGCCTACTTGAAGGCACCTACTTGAACAGTAAAGCTGCTGTAGGATGAGATTACATAAAATGACTGAATTTTAGTTTAGCTAAGTAAAGTAAACTGCATTAGTTTTGCAAAGATACCCATATGACTGTTAAATTTTACTTCCTGTTTTGTGTGTGTGTGTGTGTGTGTGTGTGTGCAAGATTTCTGAGGCTGCTATACAAGTGACCTTTAGTATAGTGTTAATTTTAAGTTGTGTTTTATTTGTCTCCTTTGATGAGTAGCTCTTCTACTTAACACTGGAGCCTTATCTCTGATACCTATATGCATGGGCCTGTAGTAGAAATAAACATCACAGGGCTCTCTGGTGGTTTTAGTAGCTCAACACCTTAAGAGAAAGTCCACAAAAGATTATTCTACACTAAATTCTTGATATAGTGCTTCAGCTAACCTGTTATATTAAGTATGTGTTTTTACTTTTCCCCAAGTTTTACAGTTTTAAAATAAAACTATTATACATATGAGAACAGATAAACAAATAACTCATATGCATGTTTTTATTTTTTTAAAAAAAGTTGGGTGTAGGTATGTAATTTTTTTTTCCCCCACAAGTAACTAACAGTATGTAACATTAGCACAGAGAAGGGTAACAGTGAGTTTTGTGTTTTTCAATAGTGAATATTGGGTTATTTCTGTATGGGTTTGCAAGAAAGCTTACATTGCAGATCTCTTGAAATTTTCTGTTTGGACAATAAAGGAAAAGTAATTAGATACTTTCCAGTTGTTACTTAACCCTTTTCAAACAATGAGGAAAATACTGTTCCTCATGTGCCTATTAACAGGTATCTTCAACTTTTTCTGCTTACAATACTTTTCAAGATTCTGGGTTTGCTTTCAGTGTAGGTTTGTGTGTACCTACTGCCTTGACTTTAACTTGTGTATGTACCTGCTAAGTCATTTTTCCTGCTGTGACTGTTAAAATCCTGCTGTTGCTACCTCATGAAGAAAATTGTTGCTTAAAACCTTACTTTCTGCTAGGCTTTTTAATAACATCATCAGTATTATATTTCTGGTTTGCTTATTAAAGGAGCTCTGGTAGCATAGTGCCTAAGGCACTTCACTGCTAACCAGAAGGCTGGCGGTTCAAACCCACCAGCCACTCCTCAGAAGGAAGGTTGGGCCATCTACTATCACAGTGATACTGCCTCGGAAACCCAAGGAGGGGTCGCTATGAGTCGGATCCGACTTGACGGCAGTGGGTTTTGCTTAGTAAATTATGTAGTACTTTTACATTATTTCATTTGATCTTCATTATATTTCCTATGAAATAATAAAAGGGGTTTACCAAAGTTTAGAGAGCTGCTTAAATTTGATACTGGACCATATTAATCCAAAAGTCCATGCTTTTACCCTGTCATAGATGTTCCATTTTAGTTTTGTTTGTTGCCTTGGACAAGTTGCTTAATGTTACTGTCTTCATCCAGACCACCTTCATAAAGTTATTGTCAGGGTTAATTTGAATATGTATAAATTGCTTAGAACAGTGCCTGGCGTATAGCAGCAAGCTACAATTAATGTGAAGATTCTGATAGTTACTATATCACATTACTTTTCATTTCTCCTTTAAAAATTGCCATAAAAAATTTATTCCTCAGATTTTCAGGTAACTTAAAAAAAATTATTAAGATTTTGGGTGAAGGTCCAAAAATCCTTTTCCGTACAGCTGTTCTTACACATTTTGTTTCATGACATTGACTGTAGTCTTTACAGTGTATCAGCTTTCTTTTCACTTCCTCCCTGTAGTTACCTCTTCTCCTTCCTTCTTCACTGTACATTCCTGCCCCCTAAGCTATCTTCCTGGACATATACTGCTCTTTTCCTCTCCCATGCTTAATAGTTCTAAGGAGTGTATCTGTCTGGTGTAAATGTTATATATGCCTGTCTCTTGTTTGCCTGGGGGCCATGGGAATGAGTTCAGTTCCAGGCTGAAGGGGCAACTAGGGGCCATGGTCTCAGGGTTTCACCAGGCTGTATCAGACCAATAAGCCTGATCTTTTTTTATGATTTTACATTTTGTTCCACATTGTTCTCCCAATCTATCCAGGATCTCTTGCACTGAATCCTTTTGGAGTGGTTGACAGTGGTAGCCGGGCACCATCTAGTTCTTCTGGTTTCATGGTCATATAGGCTGAGATTTGCATGGTCCACTAGTCCCTTGGACTAATTATTTCCATGCATCTTTGGTTTTCTTCATTCTTCTTTGCTCAGGATGAGAGACCAGTTGTTGTGTCTAGATGGTTTAGGCAATTTTTTTTTTTTTTTTAATTGTGATTTGGGTGAAAGTTTACAGAGCAAATACACTTCCATATAGCAGTTCACATACACTTTGTCTCATGACACTGACTACAATTTACCACAATGCAACAGCTCCCCTCCCAGTTCCTCCTGATAATTACTTCTTCCCTGTGTCCATCCCTCCATGCACTCCTGCCCCCTGAGCTGTCTCCCTGTGCATAAACAGCCCTCCTTTCTTCCATGATAGTTCTCTCCAAGGACTGTATCTACCTCAGGTAAATGTTCAACTCATGTGCCTGTCTTTTTGGCTGGAAGCCACAGGAGTGGTTTCAGTTCCAGACCTGAAGGGCAGCTAGGGGCCATAGTCTCAGTGGTTCCACTGGGCTCTATCAGACTAGCAAAACTTTTGATAAAGTAAAATTTCACCATTAAAAAAAAAATTATTTTCTGAGTTCATCATATTGGATAATGTATCTCTCAAAGAAGCTCTGGTAGCATAGTGCCTAAAGCATTTGACTGCTAACCAGAAGGCTGGTGGTTAAAACAGTAACCACTCCTCAGAAGGAAAGTTGGGCAATCTACTTCTGTAGTGATACGGCCTCGGAAACCCAGGGAAGGATCACTATGAGTCAGGTCTGACTTGATGGCACATAACGACAACAAGAACAATGTCTCTCTCTTTTTTGCTATCATTTCTATTTGTTTAAATTTTTATTTTTTGTGAAAATGTGAAATAACTTCTTGGGAAGACTGTTGAAGCTATTATTTATAGTTTTCAATACACTGAAATAAAAATGGATGTCTTTTCTCTGAGGTTAAAACATTTTAAAAAACCAAACTCACTGCCGTGAAATTGGATCTGACTCGTACCAACCCCCACACTCCCTGGGTTTCTGAGGTGGTATCACTACGTAAGTAGATTGTCCAACCTTCCTTCCGAGGAGTGGCTGGTGGGTTTGAACTGCCAGCCTTCTGGTTAGCACTCAGATGCCTTGGGCACTACTCCACCATAGTTCCCAAAACATTTTAGTGCATATTTTATTAATGAATTTAAAAGAGATATTGTGTATTTGATGGCATATTTGGGGTTTTATAAGGATTAAAATAATATGGCCATTTGAAATTATTATTGGCTTGGGTATATGTATGTGGAGGAAAGAAAAATGTAGGAATTTTATAATATCTATAGAATTTGTAAAATACCACTCTATCAACATTAACTCAAAGAAGGAAGTTAAACCGTTGGATAAAACAGCGTATTGCCATCTTTATTGGAAACATTATATACTTCCTTGGCATTGGCTGTGTGTAAATAGATATTTTTAAAATAAGTAATTTTCTAAAACTGCCTTATGTGTTTTTCCCTCCCAGCAGGGCATTCTTAGCAGGGTTACAGAATCTGTTAAGAATATTGTACCTGGATGGCTACAGAGATATTTCAATAAGAATGAAGATGTATGCAACTGCTCAACAGATACAAATGAAGTGCCACATTGGCCAGAAAATAGAGAAGATGAACATCTTGTATATGCTGATGAGGAGAGCTCTAATGTAAATGATGGGAGGATCACTCCTGAGCCAACAGTCAGTAATACAGAAGGTAAATAGAATATGAATATTACGTTATGAATGATAGGATTTCATGTTCTAATTTAAATATGTTACATGTTGTTGTTATGTACCGTTGAGTTGGACCCGACTTAGCGACCCCTCCTTGGGTTTCCAAGGCAGTATCACTATGGAAGTAGATTGCCCAACTTTCCTTCCGAGGAGTGGCTGGTGGGTTTGAACTGCCATTCTTCTGGTTAGCAGTCAGGTGCCTTAGGCACTATGCTACCAGAGCTCCTAAATATGTTACATGGCTGTGTTAAATCTAGTCAGATAGTACATAAACCACACAGGAGAGAATTCAAATTACAGATGTTTTTTGTTTGTCTCCTTTTGGTTTTTCATTTTTTAAGGTGGGCAGTTAATGTGCATACTCTAGTGTCAGACTTTAGGCTTGGATTTTTATACCACTGATTGATTACTAGTCACATGGCTTTGGGCAAGGTGATTGATCTGTTTTCTCTTCTGTACTCTCCTAAGTTGTTTTGAAAGGAGTAAATGTGAAGCCCTTACTAGAGATCCTAGCACTAGGTGAGCACTCTATAAATGTTAACTGTTACAAAGAAACTCTGTGATAATATCTCCCACAGTACATGGATTTGAGTATGGTTGGCTTTGTCCTCTGCAGCAAGCATATCTGGGTTATTTAATCAATCTTGCAAGTAAGTGGCATTTTAAAGAATTTAACATTTTGAACACATTTATAGTATTTTAGTGGAATTTATGTTATTAAATTTAGTGTAACCGGCGGATATAGTATATTTGGGAATATTACTCTATAGTTTCATTGTGGATGTGCATGTGCGTGCACAGGCGTGTGTGTGTACACATCTGTACATAGATGACAGGGACTTGTTTAGTGTTAGCTCACATTGTGCCCTTCATTGGGTCTGGTTTTGGGGGTTAGGGAACCCCCTGTAAGTACAAAAACTGGCATTGCTGCTAGCCGCATACCTTTATATATAATTACATCATACTGGATTTCTTTTTCCTTTGTAATTTCTGCGTATACTTGATTCAGCTGATGTCTGCCAGTAGCTAGACAGTTGTCTTAGGTAGAGCTGATGCAGGGGTGAGAGAATTGGATAAGTAAAAAAGCATTTAAAAAAAAAAAACACAGCACACTGCAAAGTAAGAGAATACTTCATATCCTAAGAAACATTTCAGCCTATGTATATGTGAATCCTAACTGCAGAGAAATTGAACTATATAGTGTTCAATGCCAATATAAACAGCAGGCTTATAATCTTCAACCAGGAGCTTTCTTAACTTAAATGGTTGTGATAGGAAATTCTTATATAAAAAGCAATTTAAATGCTCTGTTAATTTTTTTAAATGGAGCTTTTCATGAATAGTGATGTTTAAAACAATTCTTCATTGCCGTTCTTGGTGCATGTTGCTTTTTGTATAAAAGCACTTCAAAAATAAATAGTCCAGATTGTTTTGTGTTGCATAAAAACTTAATATTTTTTAAAGACAACCCTTTGGACAGAAAATTACAGAGTAGCAAATACAGTTAAGCACCATGTTTAAAGTATGTTGTGACATAGTTACTGGGGATGAGACAGGGTGTTACTCTAGTAATGCAGGAAATCATTAAGCATTAGGGAATTACTAACATATACCTATTAGTAGAGGAAATGATCTTAACCATTTTTCTCTTTTTAGTAGTTTCTAAATAAGCACTAAAATCTAAAATCCACACCTCTTGATTTCTATTTAGAGGGTTTTTTTTTTTCCTTAATAAACTACCCAAATCATGTTTAGAAACATTAGAAATATTTCCATTAAAATCAGGAATAAGATGGAAGCCCATCAGTACCACCTCTGGAAATTAAAAATGTAATCAGAGAAGAGGACATGTGTATATGTGTGTGTGTCTGTGCATGTGTGTGTGTAGGAGCTCTCGTAGAGAAGTGCCTAAGGCACTTGACTGCTAACTAGAAGGCTGATGGTTCAAACCCATCAGCCACTCCTCGGAAGGAAGATGGGGCAATCTACTTCTGTAGTGATACTGCCTCGGAAACCCAAGGAGGGGACGCTATGAGTAGGGTCCAACTTGATGGCACATAACAGCAATGTATATATATATTTTCCTAGGTCCTGGGAACAAGGAGGTAAAATGATCCTTGCTTGCAGATAATACCCGATAAACTTAAGAAAATCAATAGGCTTTTGAACACTTAGAATAAAAGAATTTGAGAACTTTATTTCAAAATTACTATTATAAAACCAAATAACTTTTATTTATTCAGTATTCAGTTAGAAAATATCAAGGAAGAAAGAATATAATTTATAATAGCAAAGAATTAAAACACAGAAATACACTTAAGAATGTGACGCTCTATAAAATTCTTAAAATTCTTTTAAGTTCTTTTGGGGAATATAAAATATCTGAACAAAAGAGAAAGGTAGGTAGGAAAACAGTATTGAGAACAATATCAGTTGTTCATTTTAAATCTTAAGTTCAGGATGATCTCAGTTAAAATAAATAATCTTAGCAGGTCTTTTAGGAACTTAACATTTGAAAACAGGTCCTTTAAAGTCTTAGTCTACTAAGCATAGTATCTTGGCCACCTTAGGTGCAAATTAAAAATATATATATATGTAATTTAGTTTTTTGTTATTGTTGAAAATATACACAGCAGAACATACACCAGTTCAACAGTTTCTACGTGTACAATTCAGTGGCATTGATTACAAGTTGTGCAACAGTTCTCACCCTCCTTTTCTGAGCTGTGTTTCCTACATTAGTATAAACTAAATGCCCCCTAAGTTTCCTTCATTATCCTCAGCACTGCTTTTTTCCCTTAGCATTTCTTGCTCTGTAGAATCTCTGTTCTTATTTCAGCTCCATACCTACTGCCATTGAGTTGATTCCAACTCATAGTGACCCCTCCTTGGGTTTCCGAGACAGTTATCACTATGGAAGTAGATCGCTCCATCTTCCTTCCGAGGAGTGGCTGGTGGGTTTGAACCGCCAGCCTTCTGGTTAGCAGTCAAGTGCCTTAGGAACTATGCTACAAATAGGACAGAGTAAAACTGCCCCGTAGGGTTTCTGAACCTATAAATTTTTTTTTTTTTTTTTTTTAATTAGGATTTGGGTGAAGATTTACAGAGTAAATTCACTTTTCATACAGCAGTTCACATATACTTTGTCTCATGTCATTGACCAAAATTTACAATGCAGCAGCTCCCCTCCCACTTCCTCCCCATAGTTACCTCCTCCCAGTGTCCATCCCTTCATACTCTTCTGCACCCTGAGCTATCTCCTTGTGCATAAGCAGCCCTTCCTTCTCCCATGATTGTTCTCTCCAGGGTGAACCTATAAATTTTTATGGAAGCAGATTGCTTCAATCTTCTGAGTTGCAGTTGTCAGTTTGATCGCATATGTTGTTGTTGTTATGTGCCGTCGAGTCGGCCCCGACTCATAGCGACCACTCCTTGGGTTTCCGAGGCAGTATCACTACGGAAGTAGGATTGCCCCATCTTCCTTCCGAGGAGTGGCTGGTGGGTTTGAACTGCCAGCCTTCTGATTAGCAGTCCAGCGCCTTAGGCACTATGCTACCAGAGCTCCCTGATCGCATATAGGTATATCTTAAAAGAGCACAATGCTCAAGACAGTCTTTACTAGTTAAGTTATATATTGTTTGATTTTTAGATGACCTCAGGACATTTTTGGCTTCAGGTTTAAAAATAATCTCAGGGCAATAGATTTGAGGGTTCTTCCAACCCCCTTGGGTCTATAAAGTCTCGAGTCCATGAGAATTTTAAATTCTGTGTTTTATTTTCCCTCTGTTTATGAGGATTCTTATAGAATCATTGGTCAAAATGTTCAGTAATGGTAACTGGGCACCATTCTGTTCTTCTGGCAAAGGAAGAGTCGGTTGTTCATGGAGGCTTAGTAAACCTCTTCCTGTTACTGACTCTCTTTCCCCTCATTACTCCGGGTGAATGAACACCAGTTTTTGTGCCATGGATGGCTGCTCGTAAGCTTTTAAGACCCCAGGCACAATAAATGAACTAGGAGATAGAACAGAAGTGCTAAACACATTATGAGACCAGTTACTGAGATATCCCATGAACCATGACCCTAAACCTCCAAACCAAGGTACCAGATCCCATGAGATGTTCAGTTGTACATGAGTAGCCTCAGCAGATACTCTTGTTTTTTTTCTGTCATTGTTGTAAATGTATCTATCACACAACTTTTGCCATTTCAGCTTTTTACAGGTATACAACTTACTGACAGCAGTTACATTAACTGGCTGTGCTACTCTACCTCTAATCAGTGGTAGTTTTCCATTACCATAAACTGAAATGAAGTACTCCGTAAGCAGTAACTTTGGGTTCAATTTCTGTTGAGTACTTTCTTTTCCCCCTGACTATAGGTCACATTTTTCTTTTTCCTTGTTTATTTAATGATTTTTTTTTTCCCCCTAAATATTGGTATTTTGAATAATACATCTAGAGACTCTAGATTCTTGTTTTCTTCCTCTGGAGACTGTTCATTCTTGTTTCAGCAAGAAGTTCTGTTACCAAATGATCATTTTGAACTTTCATAGACTTAATTTTATGCTTTGTCAGAGTATGTTTGTTGAAAGTCCAAGATGTTCCTACACCCCTCTAATGTGGTAAGACTTAGCCTCCAAACTCTTGTCTTCTTTGAATAGGTCTATAGTAGGTCTTGCTCTAGACCGTGGTCCTTACTACCAAAGGAAAGCTTTTTTGATACCTCAGCTGAATGCTGGGGATTTTAAAGAGATGTTAATGAGCTCTCTAAATTTTGGCATCACTGAACTTCATTATCCTCAGCACTGCTTTTTCCCTTGGCATTTCTTGCTCTGTAGAATCTCTGTTCTTATTTCAGCTCCATACCTACTGCCATTGAGTCGATTCCAACTCACAGCAGCCCTGTAGGACAGAGTAAAACTGCCCTATAGGGCTTCTGAGCCTATGAATCTTTATGAAAGCAAATTACCATATCTTTCTTCTACAGGGTGGCTGGTAGGTACAAACTACTGACGTTTTGGTTCACAGCCAAATGCTTTAACCACTGCACCACCAGAGCTCCTTTCAGGTCCATACCAAAACCAAACCAAACTTACTGCCATCCAGTCAGATCTGACTCATAGCAACCTCTCCTTGGGTTTCCGAGGCAGTATCACTGCAGGAAGTAGATTGCCCAATCTTCCTTCTGAGGAATGGCTGGTCGGTTTGAACCACCAGTCTTCTGGTTAACAGTCAAATGTCTTAGGGATTACGCCACCAGAGCTCCTTTCAGGTCCACAGCAGCTGCTATTTGCTAAACTTTATGTGATCTTGCTCTGCGTGTGTATATATAGCTGGTCTGCTAACTGACACTTCCATATGGACTTCTGAGCACCCCTCTCTGCATAGATCCTTACTTTCCATTGCTCTGAATTCTAATTTCTACTCACTGTTTTTGTTGCGCTTCACCTCTTTGTACCCAGGTTTGAAATTTGCTCCCAGGCAGAGAGTTATGTCATGGGGCTTACCTTGTAAGTTCTCCTGTGCTGGTCCCATTGTCTAGAAACAGTTGCTTCATATATTTTGTCTGGTTTTATTGTTTGTAGTCTGTTCCCACTTGCTCCATCCTACCTGGAAGCCTCTTTTGGCAACTTGATAATTCCAAAGTTCTTAAAAAAATATACCTGGACATGACTAGAGAACAGCCTTAGTGGCGAGTGTTTAAGTGCTTTAGCTGCTAACTGCTAACTGAAAAGTCAGTGGTTTGAACCCATCAGCCACTTTGTGGAAACAAGATGTGGTAGTCTGCTTCCATAAAGATTACAGCCTTGAAAACCTTGTGAGGCATTTCTACCCTGTAGGGTTGTTCACTGTGCGTCACAATCAGCTAGATGGCAGTGAATTTTTTGATTTATGAATAGAGAAGTTCTGGAAAAGAGGAATAAAGGGAGCAGGGTGGAGTAACTAACAGGCATTAAATCTCTTTAAAGGGTATAGTACAGAAGATACATCATTAAAAAGGAGAAAAAGTGTTTTGAAATTTAATATGTGGTATGGGTAGCTACTCATGTCAAAGAAAGAATGACTTTCAAAAAACTTACTTTTGGATATAAACTGGCTAACCATTTAGAAGACAATGAAAGTGAATCCCTCCTACATCATAACTGATTACACATGAAGTCAAGATATAAACATACTGAAATAAAAGCAAGAATATCTCTCCCAAAAAAGAAATCAGTGAAAATTTTTTTGGTCCTGGAATGGTAAAAGCCTTTGCAAGCAAGATAGAAGTTTTGTTATATGTTATTTTCTATATCACAAAAGATATCAAAAACTTCAATGGGTCACCAACTGGGAAAATTAATCTTAGTAGTAAGCAATTACATCAATAAGTGGTTAACAGAAGACATGTAATTGACCAATGGATATAAGAAAAGATGCTCAATATCTTAAAAAATACATATAATATTTGACATTAGATTGATCAGGAAAAGTTAATACCCATTGTTAGAAACTTTGAGGAAATTACATGTCTTTTGCTATTTATGGGACTTTTGGATTACATTTTAATGATATCTGTCATGAATAAAGGTGAGCATGTACTCTTGTACTCTGATCCAATATGATAGAACATTTGCATATTTCATCTTTATCCCATTGGTACTGAGAATACTTGGGACAGCATAGGCTAGTTTTCAGGCCCAACTTTAGACTTAATGAATCATTTTTTGTGGGTGGTTTTATATTTGTTTTAACAGTTTCTCTTCATAATTCTCATACGTACTAAAAGTTGGAAAGCCATGGATTTATCTGAAAGAATATTCTTTTTTTTTTTTTTTTAATTATTTTTATTTGGGTGAAGATTTACAGAGCAAATTCACTTTCTGTACAGCAGTTCACATATACTTTGTCTCATGTCATTGACCACAGTTTACCACAATGCAACAGCTCCCCTCCCACTTCTTCCCCATAGTTACCTCTTTCCAGTGACCATCCCTCCATACTCTCCTGCACCCTGAGCTGTCTCCCTGTGCATAAGCAGCCCTTCCTTCTCCCATGATTGTTCTCTCTAGGGCCTGTGTCTACTTGAGGTAAATGTTTAACTCACATGCCTGTACATTGTTTGGCTGGCAACCACAGGTGTGGGTTCAATTCCAGACCTGAGGGCAGCTAGGGGCCATAGTCTCAGTGGTTCTACCAGGCTCTATTGGACCAGCAAACCTGGTCCTCACCTTCTCTCTCTTTTTTTTTTTCCCTCCAAATGATTTTGAATTTTGTTCCACATTGTTCTCCCTCTCTATCCAGGATCTCCTACATCCCTTCCAAGTGGATGACAGTGGTAGCTGGGCACCATCTAGTTCTTCTGGTCTCATAGTTGTATAGGTTGCAGATCGGATGGTGTACCAGTCACTAGGACTGATTGTTTCCATTAATTTTGTGAAAGAATATTCTTAAAAGTATGCAAATGTAACCACATATGTTTGATCTTCAACAAGATGGATTGACACAGTGGCTTCAGCAGTGAGTCAAATATAGCAATGATTGTGAGGATCACTGAGTTGGAACCAACTTCATGGCGCTTAACAACTACAATGTGTTAGAGTATTGGGAAAATGATTACATAAATAATTACAGGAAATTTGTATGATGGTGTAATGGAATACAATTACAATGTAGTCTTTAAAAGCAGTGCTCTGTATGTAGAGACAAAATTAAATTGTAAGTGAAATAAAAAATCACATAATGGTGTAATGGAATACAATTACAATGTGGTCTTTAAAAGCAGTGCTCTATATGTAGAGACAAAATTAAATTGTAAGTGAAATAAAAAATCACATAACCTTACAAACCATGGTTATATGTTTAAGAAAAATGTCTATGTATGGATACAAAATATGTAGAAAGATACAGATGTCACAATTGTGGTTGCTTCTGGAGGAACAGCCTTTTGTTTATGTTTCATATGACTTTAAATTTCATTTTTTATGAGTAGTTGTTCTAATAGTACCAATTCAAGGAAAATCGAGAACTATGACATTTTAGAAATTGTGTGTAATCACTGAAATATATTTTAGCCTTAGATTAAGTATATTAATCTCAGTTGACACCTTTTTTGCCTGAAGAATATCTTAAATTGGTTTTACCATAGGGAAGCCTTAGTGACTTGAATTGAAGCTATATTTCTTATACAGTGTGTTTTCTTAGAGATCATTTTGTTGTGATGGTGTATAGCTTTTTCTAAGTTTTTTATTTGTAATATTAATGCTTTTCTTTTAAGAACCCTCGACAGCTAGTACTACTTCAAATTATCCAGATGTATTAACAAGGCCTTCTCTTCATCGGAGCCATCTGAATTTTTCCATGTTGGAATCTCCTGCATTACACTGTCAGCCATCCACCTCCTCAGCATTCCCAATTGGCAGTTCTGGATTTTCCCTTGTAAAGGAAATTAAAGATTCTACCTCTCAGCATGATGATGATAACATCTCAACTACCAGTGGTTTTTCTTCAAGAGCTTCTGATAAAGGTATTCTTGGCATTTGTAGTAAATAATTTTGATAGTAAAATTAAATGTCACAGAATGAATTTTTTTCTAAGTTCTAATTTTTCATTTTTTATTTCTGTAAATCTAGGGCCTTGTAATTGGTGCTGTTACTATGCATTACCTATTTTTGTTCCAGATATAGCTGTTTCAAAGAACACTTCATTGCCACCTCTATGGTCCCCAGAGGCTGAACGCTCTCATTCACTTTCACAGCACACTGCCACCAGCTCAAAAAAACCAGCATTCAACTTGTCTGCCTTTGGAGCACTTTCCCCTGTGAGTACTAAATAATTGGATTTAATCACATTAGTTTTGAGTGCTTGTTGCTTATAATTTATCATTGTGTTTCTGTGCAGTCTCTTGGGAATTCTTCACTTCTTAAAGCAAGTCAGCTTGGAGATTCTCCTTTTTATCCTGGAAAAACTACGTATGGTGGGGCAGCAGCTGCTGTAAGACAGTCTAAACTACGGAATACACCTTACCAGGTTGGTTTGAATGAGAGAAGGATTAATAAATTAAAAAAAAAAAATTGGAGAAAGAATAATGAGTGGATGTTGGCATTAAAAAAGTAGTTTTGGTCCATTGTTTTCTTTGGTAAAATGATAGAACTGTGGATTACAAATGACTTTCTGTTTAGGGAAATGCTAAGAGCATTATTGACCTAAGTGAACATTTTGTACATTAGAATTGTGTGTGTGTGTGTGTGTGTGCGCGCATGTGCGTGCATGTCCACACACGCACATTTGACTCTTAGGAAGTAAGATGATTAATCACTTTTTCCTCTGTTTTTTATTGAAGTATAATTGCATACAGAGAAATTTTCCCTTAGAGTATTTGGATTTTGATGAAAACATGGAGCTGTGTAGCCACCTATGCTATCAAAATACTGAGTGAGCATTTCTATTACCTCAAAAAGTTTTCTTGTGCACCTTGTGCAACTGTCTAGCTGCTTCCACCCTCTGGGACTCACTGATGTTTTCTTTCCTGGTAGTCTTGACTTTTCCAGAATGTAAGGTGTTCAAACATTATATAGTCTATTGAGACCTTTTCCATTTACCATAATGTTCATTCTGTGTTTTTGCATATGTCAGTAGTTGGTTCCTTTTTATTGGTCAATGGCGTGGATGTTATGTAGTTTGTTTATCTATTCACCAGTGAATGGACACTTGGGTTGTTTACAGTTTTTGACAATGAATAAAGTTGCTGTGAATATTTTGTGTGAACATTAATTTTCATTTCTTTTGGGTAAATAGCTAGGAATTGGATTGTTGAGTCATATAGTGAGTGACTATTAAACTTTATAATAAAATGCCAAATTGAGTTCCAGAATGGCTAGTACTGCATTCTTACTAATAATTTAAGAAGGTTTCAGTTGCTGTGCATCCTTACTGGCACTAGATGTTAGTTTACTGGTTTTTATTTTTTTTTCTTTTAGCCATTCTAATAGGCATGTAGTGGTAATGCCAATTCATTATAGTTTTAGTTGCATTTCCTTAATAAATAATCATGTTGTGCATCTTTTTGTTTATTTGCCATCAATGTATCTTTTTAGGTGGAGTGTGCAAATCTGTTGCCTGTTTTTCAATTGGGTGGTTCTGTCATTAATGAATTTCAAAAATTCCTTATTCAGATTATAGGTCTCTCATTAGATACATGTTTAGATACTAGATACACTATTTTCTCCCATTCTCTAGCTTGTCTTTTCATTTTCTTTAGTGTCTTTAGTAGAGCAGGTTTTTACTTTTTATGATATCTAATAATTTGGGGCCAATTTCTTTTACGATACATGCTTTTGGTGTCATAGCTGGACATTTTTGCCTAAACTCAGATCACAGCTGTTTTCTTCTGCAAGTTTTATTTGTTGTAGATTTTAATTTAGGTCTCTGAATTTTTTCTTTTTTACTTGTGATTTGGGTACAGTTTTACAAAGTAGATTGGTTTTACACTCGGCAGTTCATAAACTTTTGTTTTGTGACTGATTATATTATATTGTTCCATAATGAAACAGATCTCATCCCACCTCCTCTCTGTGGTTACCTTTTCCTTGTGTCCTTTCATATGCATTCCAGCTGCTTAGCTTTCTCCTGTACAGATGCTACCCTTCTGATCTCCCGTGGTTGACTGTTTTAAGGAGTGCATCTCCCTGGTGTACTTGTTCAGCTCATAGTCCTGTCTATTGTTTGGCTAAGAGTTAAGGCATGGGAGTGAGTCCAATTCCAGGCCCAAAGGGTGCCGTAGGGCCATAGTATCAGGGGTCTCACAGGCCTCTGATAAAATTTGAGTTAATTTTTATGTGGTATGATGCAAAGGTCAAAATTCTTTTTTCTTTTCCATATGGGTGTTCTAGTACCGTTTGTTGAGAAGATGTTTTTCCACTGAATTGCCTTTGCACTTTTGTTGAAAATCAGTTAACCATATATGTAGTTCTATTTCTGGGTTTTCTTTTCTTTTTCATTTATCTGTCTATTCTTAGTAGATTTTCTGCTGTTGTTGTGAATGCAAAATGTCAGATAATGACCTAGTCGGATGAGTGAAGAGTAGGTGAATCTAAAATCAGTTGTATTTAAAGTAAATTGCACCACTCTGTTTTTTCCTAATAGTTTCTTGAGATCAAAAATAGTTCTGTTTATTGTGTACATTGTCATGGTGTTCTTAAATTTATAGATTTTGACATCTTAAAAATAGAGGAGTAATACTTTAAATATGTAGACTGTTAAAGAGGGAAATCTGTAAAGACAATCATGACAAACATAAGAATGACTGAAACATGAATATTTGAATATTTTATCTTTTCTTTAGATTAGTTACTTGCTTTCCTAATTAGAAGATTTAATTGACAGAAATCATGAAGTTTATTTCTGTGTATGTTTTTATGAAGGGTGATACTTTGTTATGAGAAAGTGTTAACTGGGTGTTGGAATTACACAGAGTGGATCACATAACTCTTTAAAATGTTATCAGTTAAAGTATTTCAGCATATCAGGGGAAGAGAAGATGGTGCAAATTTACGATTGCTACAACAGCCACTCCTCGGAAGGAAGACTGGGCAATCCTACTTCCGTAGTGATACTGCCTCGGAAACCCAAGCAGGGGTCGCTATGAGTCGGGGCCGACTCGACGGCAAATAACAACAACAACAACAACAGCTTAAATCAGTCTGTTCCTGCTTCTTCCTCCTCTACTGCTCATAGGATTCTACACTCTTAAATGTTCAATCTTGATAACCCTTAGAATCGTTCTCAACACAGGATTCCAGATAATTGACATTTGGGATGAAATCTCTTTGCTATGTTTTTTTTAGAGTGTTAAAAGCTGGGAAGCATATTAAAGATTCTGTAAATCTGTTCTATTTTATTGATTTGTGAACTGAGGCCCTAGTAGTCTTCAGTGATAGGATGTTGTTGTTGTTGTGTGCCATTGAGTCGGACCTGAATCATAGCAACCCCTCCTTGGGTTTCCAAGGTGGTATCACTACAGAAGTAGATTGCCCAACCTTCCTTCCAAGGAGTGGCTGTTGGGTTTGAACCACCAGCCTTCTTGTTAGCAGTCAAGTGCCTTAGACGGTCACATTTTTCTTGAGGGTATTTTGATGTTGCCTCATGTTGGCCAAAATTTTCAAAGCCTTTAGCCCACATAGCAATCCCTAATGGAGCATTCAGTTATTAAGAAAACTAATATAGAATGTTGGAGCTGTTTGGAGGATGGTGAATACTTGGTATTAGATAAACATTATTTATTATGGTTCAATTTTTCAGGTATTATGAGCACTTTCTGAAAACTGTATTATATTTTGTGGTGGTGTATCTACTTTTTTATTAATCATTGCTATATATAGAAAAAACTTGTTCAGCCAGAAGACTCTGTTTTGTGGTAGCCAATTACTTATTGGAATGTTGTAATAATGTATTCTTGAGAAAAGTATTTTTATTGATATTTGAAAACGTTGCTTGTGAGTTAATAGTGTTCTTAAATTTATAGATTTTGACATCTTAAAAACTGAGGAATAATACTTTAAATATGTAGGCTGTTAAAGAGGGAAATCTGTAAAGATAGTCATGACTGCCTATTCTTTCAAAATTTTGTTTTCTTAACTCTAATTTTGAAAAAGTTAAAACATCGTTAATTAAGAAATAGCCTGAGTATTTCAAGTTTTTCATTTTTTTAATAGAAAAATATGACAAAAAAGCCTGTAGTAGTATTAAAATTTTTACATTTCTATTGTGGTCTGTTTGTTTAGCTATCTTTGTATTTACTGTAGTAACTAATGTTTTAATGCACTTCTCATTCATTTTCTTTCCTTTAAATATTGGAGTAAATGGATTAAAACAAAAGTAAAACTTTTACCAATACCTTGTTTTTCCCATTTACCACAGCTGGCAGCTCTTTCTTAGAGTGGTACATGCTTTTCTGATTATAAAAATAATTTCTCGGGCAAAGAATTTGATTTTCAAGAAAGCCATAAGGGAAAAAATTGAAACTTACTCTTAATGCACTGCCCAGAAATAAATTACTGTTAACTTTGAATATCCATTGTATCTTGTAAATTTCTCATTGCATTAAATATGTGCTTTAGTTTTAACATTCCAGGATATAATACAGGATTTACTTTACAGGCACCAGTCAGAAGACAGATGAAAGCTAAGCAACTCAGTGCACAATCTTATGGTGTGACTAGTTCAACAGCCCGGCGAATATTACAATCTTTGGAGAAGATGTCAAGTCCTCTAACGGTAAATTTTTAAAAAGCACAATTAAATATAGGAGTGTGACAAATTACCATTGAATTTAGCAAAAAATCTTAATTTTGTTATTATTTCAACATTAACAGGATGCAAAAAGAATTCCATCTGTTGTTTCTTCGCCGCTGAATTCTGTAAGTTGGCTTTTAAACCTTTAAAAAAAATTACACATATACCTTGTTTTATTGTGCTTTGGTTTATTGTACTTCTGAAGTATTATGTTTTTTACAAATTGAATGTTTGTGGCAGCCATGTATGGAGCAAGGCTGTCAGCACCATTTTTCAAACAGCTTGTGCTCATTTTATATTTCTGTCACATTTTGGCAATTCTCACAATATTTCAAACTTTTTCATAATGCTCTTGTACACTTTTGAAGGAGCTCTGGGTGGTACTTTGGTTAAGCATTCACCTGCTAACTTAAAGTTGGCTATTTGAACCCACCAGCTGCCCCATAGAATAAAGATGAGGCAGTCTGCTTCTGTAAAAATTTATAGCCTTGGAAACCCTATGGGGCAGTTCTGTTGTGCCATATAGGGTCATTGTGAGTCATAATTGACTCAATGGCAGTGTTTGTTTTTGGGGGATTATTGCACACTTTATAAACTACAGTATACCATAAACATAACTTTTATATGCACCTAAAAAATTCACTCACTGCTGTTGAGTCAGATCTGACTTACAGTGACCCCTCCTTGGGTTTCTGAGGTGGTATCACTATGGAATTAGATTGCCCAGCCTTCCTTCCAAGGAAAATTGTATAACTTGCTTTAATGCAGTGTTCACTTTATTTTGGTGGTCTGGAACCAAACCCATGGTATCTCCAAGGTATGTGTGTGTGTGTGTGTGTATTTTATTTCTGCTAATGAGTGATGTTTTTCAGAGATTTCCATTGATTAAGTAATATTTTATTTTTTCAGCCACTTCATAGGAGTGGGATAGATATCACAGATTTTCAGGCCAAAAGAGAAAAGGTAAGAAAACTACAGCATTTATTTAAAGTGTCAGCAGTTTAATTTTGTTTATTTATAATTAGCAACCATATAAATTTAAGTGAGTTGATAGTCATTAGGGAACATGATTGAAGTAAATAAAGTTTTTCTACTTGGACTTAGTAACCTTTTCCTCAGGATCTTAACATGATGCTGTATATATGTAGTCTGCATGTAAGTAGTGGATGCTCAGTGCTTTTTTGGTTATTTGGCTTTTCCATCTTCAGGATCTTGACAGTCTTTATGAGTAACTTTTTGCCTTTGGACAAATGTGGAAGTTCATGACGCTTTGAAGTGTTAGTAATTAGAAGTTTAGTGAATTGAAGTCCTTATTGACCATAGCCGTCTTTGTAAACTTCCCTCCTTAACCAACATTATAATCTGTGTACTAGAATTTCATGTTGGCACATCTTCCATCAGTCAGCCAGAATAATGTTCCAAGGTGTTGGATTTAATAAAAAATGTAATGTAGGTTACATCTTGATGCCTGTTGTTGTTGTTGTTGTTGTTATGTGCCGTCAAGTCAGACCCGACTCATAGCGACCCCTCCTTGGGTTTCCGAGGCAGTATCACTACGGAAGTAGATTGCCCCATCTTCCTTCCGAGGAGTGGCTGGTGGGTTTGAATCGCCAGCCTTCTGGTTAGCAGTCAAGTGCCTTAGCCACTATGCTACCTGTTAGTCTGTCCTATTTGGTTAAAATTAGCTTTGGATGTTACTTTGGAAAAAATAAAATTAAACTGCTTGATAATTAGGATTAAAGAAGTACCTTTTTTGTTACTTATTTGTGGCTAGTTAAGGATCCTTTAAGGGAACAGATTTCCTAATTCTTACTTGTGAAAGCATTTGTTAAAATATCAAGTTCCACAAAAATGATTAAGGCGCATTCATATAATTGTCAGTGTAACATAAATTAAGAAAATTGTAAGCCAGAGGCTTAGAAAATGAAAAGCAGAAAATATTATGCAATACACCTCTGCATAGTTAAAAATTAAATGTTTATTTTCTTTTCCAAGCTTTAGGAAAGGAGAAGGGTTTAACTTACAGACCCTTTTGTCTCAGAGGAGGATCTCTCTAAGGCACTCCTTTTGGGGTCCCCTCAGTACTACTACTTACAACTAGGGTGGGTAGAAGCCTTATTAAAATTATACTTGAGAGGTGTAACCTTTTACAAGCCTGATTTCATTTCCTCCACATAAGCAACATTCTTCCTAACCTAAATTTCTCCTGAATGAGTTCTCCGTGGAGAGAGCACTTTATAATTGATTAGATGGCCCAGTGTCATTTTGATTGTGTGCTTTTCAGAACAGAAATGTATATAACAATTTTAAAAATGTTTTAATACCACAGACACCATGGGTCGCCTGATTTTTATTAGTGGTATACAGACCACTAGTTATGAACCAGATCTAGACTTTCAGCCCTTTTCAACTTTCCTGGGCAATAGAGCTTAGATTCAAAACATGTCTTTGCTACCTTTTGTTGCACATTCTTTCCCTTTCCCTCCACCCACCATCAGTTGGTAAGGCCAATTTTAATATTAACTCCAGCAGTTCATGTTTAAGCCCAGTATATTCCCAAGTTAAAGAAGCTGAACTTTCCTATCCACACCATTTTACTTTAGGATGCTCTTTCTTTTTACAGATATTTTCTAATGAACTATGATAATTTAGTCTCCTACCTCTCCCCCCTTTTTTTCTTTTCAACAGCAGTATTTTAGAAGATAATTTTGCCCTGATACCTAGTACCAAGTTACCTAGGTTTTTGTTGGCTTTTTGAAAAATTGTCTTTTGTGGGTTAGTGGGTGGCTTAGTAGCAAAATTTTTTGGAAAAGAGAAAAAAAGTTCCCCCAAAATTGATTAAAATCATCTTATTCTATGAATTAATTATAGAAATTATATATAGGCTGTTAAACCAAAACCAAACTGACTGCCATCAAGTAGATTCTGACTCAGAGCAATCCTCATTGGGTTTCCGAGGTTGTAAATCTTTACAGAAGTAGATCACCCCATCTTCCTTTCATGGAGCCGCTGGTGGGTTTGAACCACTAACCTTCTGGTTAGCAGCTTTATCCACTAGGCCACCAGAGCTCCTTATATAGGCTAAGAGTAAGTTATAATTCTCACTGATATTCTAGTGTAGAAACGAAAGCTAAAATTTGATTTTTTCTGAGAAGAGAGTAAGTACTTGTACAATTTATAGAAATTTATAGTCAAGCAAGAGGAAATTTATTGTTAGCTGCTGTGATGGGATAAATTTTGTTAATGGCTTTTCTTAGACTGAATTTATATCAGATTGTTAGAGAAAAAGGTTTATTTAAAAAATCCTATTATATATATGTTTTCATTAATAGTTTTATTAATGGGTGATTAATAGTATCAGTAAAATCTATTAATGAATGTTAGGAGATGTGGAGGCCTAAATACAATATTGCAGTTTATGTTTCACAAATGTAATCAGAACAGTCTACAAAACAGACTGTTTCATTGAGTTGTAGGGTCACGCTTGTGATGAGTATTTGAGGAGGAGCTAGTAAGTATACAGATACTTTGCCCTGGAAACCAGTGCTGTTCACAGCTGCTGCTGAATGATGAAAGAACTCTATTCATAGTATTATGGTCTTTGGACAGAATAGAAGCTCTTGGCTTTAGTCATTTTGCCCCAACAGGATTTTCACTATGTTTCAGTATAGCAAGGGACCATTGACAAAACACTTGGTGTACTTAGACAATAAATAAAGCTGGTTCATTTCATAATCTGGGAATCTTAACAGTTTTGTTGTTGCTTCTCTCTCTCCCTCTCTCTCTCTCTCTGTGTGTGTGTGTGTGTGTGTGTGTGTGTTTAAAACTGTGATTCCGGTGAAAGTTAATAGAGCAAATTCATTTTCCATACAGCAGTTCATACACATTTTGTTTCATAACATTGATTGCAGTCCCCATGATGTATCTGCTCTCTTCTCACTTCCTCCTTGTGGTTGCATTTTCCCTGTATCCTTCTTACCTATGCATTACTGCCTTCTGAGCTGTCTCCCTTTGCAGATACCATCCTTCTGATCTCCCATGGTTGTTTGCTCTATAGAGTGTACCTGCTTGGTGTAAATGTTCACCTTACACACCTATCTGTTGCTTGTCTAGAACCCATGGGAGTGAGTTGAATTCAAGGCCTGAAGGGTAACTAGGGACCATAGTCTTGGGGGTTTTCACCAGTCTCAGACTAGTAAGCCTGGCCTTTTTTTTTATGATTTTGAGTTTTGTTCTACATTTTTCTCCCACTCTATCCAGTATCTCCTATTTTTGATCCCTTTTTGAGTGGTTGACAGTGGTAGATGGGCACCATTTAGTTCTGGTTTCAGGATCTTATAGGCCAAGGTTTGCATGGTCCACTAGTCCCTTGGGCTAATTGTTTCCATGTGTCTTAGGTTTTCTTCATTCTTTGCTCCTGACAAGGGGTGGGGCCGGGGAGTTTTAACCAATTAAATTTAAATTATAAGGTTTTTTGTTATGTTTTAAATAACCAATGGGGGAAAATCAACCTGGAGAGAAATTTGCTAACACTTTTTGGAATCAAGTATTTTCATAAATAGTTTTAAGTTATTTTAATTTGCAACTGAAGAGAATTTTAGATGATAATGTGGGGAGAAACGAGTCAAAACCAATTGTAGTTAACATTTACAATTAAAACCTTAGATTTGTGGAGCTATTTTGAATAACTCCATTTTGTGTGCATAGTCCATGTATGAAAAGTCGTTAAGTCTGGAAAAATATGTAATTATCTGTGAAACCATTTTAGAATTGTGTATCTAGATAATTATTTATGTATATTCATACACACACCAAAAAAACCCAAAACCCAAACTCACTTGGCATTGAGTTGGATTCAACTCATAGTGAACCCTCCTTGGGTTTCTGAGGCAGTGTCACTATAGAAGTAGATTGCTCAGTCTTCCTTCCAAGGAATGGCTGGTGGGTTTGAGCTCCCAGCCTTCTGGTTAGCAGGCAGATGCCTTAGGCACTGTGCCACCAGAGCTCCCATATGCACACAACTAGATATCTAGGTGGCTAAATAAATTGACATATACCCTTGGGTTTATTAACTGTTTTTTCTCAGCATTTATTTATATCGAATATTTCTATAGGTCACATTAACTAGTATAAAATAATTTTTATATGTGCCCTTTTGTATAAATAATAAAAGTTGGTCTTTAATTTCTGTTTACCTCTAAGGTTGACTCTCAGTATCCCCCTGTTCAGAGACTTATGACCCCAAAGCCAGTTTCCATAGCAACAAATAGAACTGTTTATTTTAAACCTTCTCTGACTCCGTCTGGTGAATTGAGGAAGCCTAATCAAAGAATAGATAAAAAGCACAATGTGAGTATGTGTTTTATTTTTATCAGAATATTTGGATATTGATTAATCTGTGAATTTTTAGTTATTATGATTATGAATTTAGATACTTTTAAAATAGCTATTAAGTTGATAAATTCTAAGTTAGTATTCATTTTCTAGATTAAATAATTTTGACAGACTTGCTTTATCTGTGTATTGTGTTTGTTATTGAACTATCTGAAAATAAATTTCTTAAATGTCTGTTTACCTCTGAACACTTTGGCATTCATCTCCTGAGTACTTCCTCCTGTGTTACCACATGCACCCCAAACCCCACTGTCACTGAATTGATTCTGATTCATAGTGACCCTATAGGACAAAGTAGAACTGCCCCGTAGGGTTTCCAAGGCTATAAATCTTTAAGGAAGCAGGCTGACTCATCTTTCTCCTGTGGAGTAGCTGGTAGGTTTGAACCTCAAACTTTTTGGTTAGCACCCAAATGCTTTAACCACTATGCTGCCAGTGCTCTTTTTTTTAAAAATCACATCTAGGGAATTTAATATTAATTCCTGGAGCAACAGAGGAAAAGTAAAGGAGGAACAGGAGAATGAGATGGAATGTGTGGTTAATTGCCTCCATCAACAACTGCTTCCTTTACCATTTTGCCATGAGACCCAAAGAACTGGATAGTACCCACATTACTGAAAGGAGCTCTGGCAGTGGGTTTGGGGTTTGTTTTGTTTTTTCTTTTTTTTTTTGTTAAGCTGGACTATTGTTTGGTTTTAAGAAGGGAATATTTTTGATTTAAGGTTTAAAGATTATCCTGGGACAGTAGTTTCAGGGGTTCATCCAGTCTGCATGGCTCAGGAAAGTCTGGTGTCTATGGGAATTTGAAATCTGTTCTACACTTAGCATGTTTTCAAGGTTCAGTGATGTTGTAGCATGTATCAATACTTTGTTCCTTTTTATCGAAGAATATTCCATTGTATGAAAAGATCGTATTTTCTTTATCCATTTAGTAGTGGACATTTTGGTGGTTTTGACTATAATAATCCTTGCTTTGGACATCTGTGTACAAATTTTTACATGGACATATGTTTTCATTTCTCTTGAATGGTACGTACCTGGGAGGGAATTGGTTTTTGAGAAGACCACCATGCCATTTGTCTTAAATGTCTTAACATTCTGGGTTTGTTTGTTTTCTTGTGGTGTAATTTAACAAAAATCATGGGAATTTATTGTATTTATGTAGCGTTTTACCGGTTGCATATTCACTTATAGTCGATCCCATCATAACAACCCAGTTTCTTGAAAATATTTAAAGAAAAGTTTAAAAAAAAAAAGGTTATCCATATACTTTTTTTAAATTTTTATTTAACAGTTTTTAACATTTTGCCATACTTGCTTTCTCTCTCTCCATATATACTTTTTAATTCCACTGTAAAAAGATTTTTTTAACCTAATTTCAGGTTTATAGACTTGAAAGAAAAATTCTAAAATCTCCACATTTTAACTACATTTACTTTTTTGTATCTCTGCAATTAAAGAACTCCTTTATAACTACAGAACAGTTATAAAACCCAGGAACTTAACTGATACAATACTGTAATCTACAGATTTTATTTAGATGTAGCCATTTGTCCAGAAAGAAAATCCAAGCTCATGTCTTACATTTAGTTATCATGTCTCTTTAATCTAGAACAACTCCTTTTTGTATATTTCACCATATTGATATTTTTTTAAAAATGCAAGCCAATTATTATCTACCAGTCTTCATTTGTGGACTTGTGCTGTTTCCTCACTTTTAGATTCCAGTTACGTACTTTTGGCAGTAATGCCACGGAAGAAGTACTGAGCTCTTCTCAGCGTATCATATCAGGAGACATATGCTATCAATTCCATACTGGCAATGTGATCGTTAGTAAAGGTGGTGTCTGTATGATTTCTCCAGGATAAAGTTACTATTTTACTTTTTTGTAATTAATTAATATCTTCATGAGAATATAAATATCCCCTCCACCTACTAGCTTCAGCATTACTGATGATTCTTGCTTGAATCATTTTAGTAGATTTCTACGTAGTGATTTTCTACTTTGATCATTCCTTCTTCATTTATTAATTAGATTTCTATTGAAAGGAAGTTTTCCTTTCTCTAATTATGTATTTACTTGTCTATATATTTGTTTTTGTATGAACTTGAATTCTTGTATTCAATAGGTTATAATCCTTTATTGACATTATTTCTTTTAATGCTGAAATTGGCCTAGATTTAGCCTTCAGACTGACTTCTGTATCTTTTTCTGTTTCACCATCATATTTTTAACACCATGTTGCTTTTTGATTTTATAAAATAATCTAGGCTCATCTGGTATGTTTCCTGTCATTTTTCTAAGAAGCCCTAGTTTGGGTGTTTTGGGTTTTTTTTGATATATTACTGTGTTTAATATGAAGGTTTATATAGCAAATTAGATTCCCATTTAATAATTTCTATATAAATTATTCAGTAATACTGGTTTTATCACAGTTTATGATGATTCCACTTCATTGCCTTCTAGTTTTTTTTATTTCCAGTACTCTAGTTTCTGTACCCTTATCTTCTCATCTTTGCTTTGGAGTTATTTTTGATTGTTTAGTCTTATATAGATGATTCCTATTTCCTTTTTAATGAATGGGCTTTTTAAGTTCCAGAGAATCATTACAAAAGAGTATGTGGATTTGCTTGCACATTTTATACACCATAATGATACATAAGTAAAAATATTTTTGTAGGTGGTAAGTGTATGAATTGTATTTACTGCCATTTAAAAAAACAATTGCATTCAGTGAGGTTTTACATTTACTATAACTCTTGGTACTGCTCGGAAGGTAGGGTGTAAGATTTAAACTTTAGGATTCATTAGCTGAAAAATCAAGAAACTCCTGAGTCCAAATATTAAAATTGATAGGTGCTATTAAGAAAATTAAAGCAAACATCAAAATACTGCAAAGCATCTTCTCAGATCACAGTTACACAATTAGAAATCAAAAACAAGATCAAAGAAAAAAAGCACACACATGGAAACTGTATAGTACCCGGCTTAAAAACTACTGGGTAACAGAAGAAATTAAAAATGTCCTTGAAAACACAGCATACTGAAATTTTTGGGACACAGTGCAAGCAGTATTTAGCAATTTATACCAATAATTGCAGACATCAAAAAGAAAGTGCCAAAATCGAGCCTGTTGTCATTGGAAGAAAAGAAATAGTAAAGATTCACAGAAAAATAATAGAAAGTACCAACAAGACTAGAAGTTGATTCTTTGATAAGATGAATAAAATCGATAAGCCACTGGCAAATTTAACAAAGGAAAAAAGGTGAAGATGCAAATAACATGAATAAGAAATGACATAGGCAATGTCACAACAAAACAAATCAAAATAAGAAGGATCATATCAGGATAACTATGAAGAACTGTACTGCAACAAATTTGAAAACCTAGAAGAAATGGACAGATTTCTAGAAACATGCTGCCTACCTAAACAGACACATATTGCTGAGGTAGAAAATTTGAATAGACTCATAGCAAAAGAAGAACAGGTCATTAAAAAAAAACTACCACCAACAGCAAAAACTCCTGTCCCAGATGGCTTCATTCGTGAATTCTACCAAACAGAAGAGCTGAAACCAGTTCATTGAAAAGGAGGGAATACTCTCAAATTCATTTTATGAAGCAAACATAAGCTTGATACCAAAGCCAGGCAAGGATACCACCAAAAAAACTTTGACCAATATGCCTCATGAACGTAGATGCAAAAATTATCAAAATCCTTTCCTGTAAACTCCAGCAACATATCAAAAAGAAAATACATCATGACCAAGTGGGATTTCATACCAAGTATGCAGGAATGGTTCAACATTAGAAGAACAATCAACATAATTCATCTCATAAATAAAGGGAAAAAAATTACACAAATCAATCAATGCATAAAAGGCATTTGACAAAATCTAGCATCCATTCCTTATAAAAGCACTGAACAAAATAAGAATAGAAGGGGATTGCTCAACATAATTGAGGAAATATATGCAAAACCAACGAAGTCAACATTATTCCCAATGGAAAAAGACAGAAACTATGCCCCTTATGAACAAGTGCCAGAAAATGATGCCCTTTATCATTACTCTTATTCAATATAGTATTGGAAATCCTTATTAGAGTAATAAGGCATGAAAGGCTAGTAAAAGGCATCCAAATTGGCAAAACTGTCTCTATTTGCAGATTATTTGATTTTTCACACATCAAAAATCCCAAAGATTCAGTAAGAAAATTGCTTCAAGTAATTGATAGTTTTAGCAAAATGGCAACGGTGCAAGATCAACATACATATAATAAAATTTTTTAAAAAAACCAGATGCCTTTACATTGAGGAAGATAACTCTGAAAAGGAAATCAGGAAAGCAATACATTTACAGTAACCACCCAAAGATGAAGTACTGAGGAATAAGTCTAACCAGGGAGACAAAACACCTACATGAAGAAAAATATGAAGCACTATTACAAGAAACCAAGAGAGATATACATAAATGGAAGATTATATTATGCTCATGGATAGGAAGCCTTAACATCATGAAAATGTCAGTACTACGCATTGTGATCTATATGTATAAAGCAATCCCAATGTGGATTCCATGATCTTTCTTTAAAGAGATGGGAACACTAATCACCAATTTTATATAGAAAGGAAAGAGACCCTGGATAAGTAAAGCATTACAAAAGAGGAAGAACAAAGTAGGTGGCTTCACACTTCTCAATATCAAAACCTATCATATAGACACGGTAGTTAAAACAGTCTGGTACTGGTACAGCAACAGACACATACACCAGTGGAACAGAGTTGAGAACCAGAAATAAATCCATCCACCTATAAACAATTGATCTTTGACAAAAGGCCAAAACAAAATGGGGAAGAGATAATCTCTTTAATAAATGGATATCCGTTTGCAGGAAAATTAAAATAAAAGCAAACTAAAGTATGATCAAAGACCTAAACATAAAGACCATCAAAGAAAAAACAAAAGATACAAGCTTAGGGCCATAGTTCAGGTCATAAATACATGAGCAAATATAACTAAAACTACACAAACACCAGAAGACAAAATAGATGACTTGGGACCTCCTAAAAATTAGGTATTTGTGCAAATCAAAAGATTTCACCAAAAGAATAACGAGTGAACCCACAGACTGGGGAAAAAAAAAAATTGTCGATAACGTATCAGACAAGGGGCTAATCTCTAAAATTCATAGAAAACTTCAGCAGCTTAACAACAAAAACACATAATCCAATTAAAAAGTGGGCAGAGAACATGAACAGACACTTCAAAGAAGCCATTCAGGCAGCTCTCCAACACTTGAAGAAATGCTCATTATCATTAGCCATTAACAACAACAAAAAAAATGGAGACTCACTGCCATCGTGTCGATTTGCGTCATAGTGACCTTTCCTTGGTTTTCCAAGGTGGTGTCTCTGCGGAAGTAGGTTGCCCAGTCATCCTTCCGTTGAGTGGCTGTTGGGTTTGAACCACCAGCCTTCTGGTTAGCAGTCGAATGCTTTAGGCACTATGCCAACAGAGCTCCCTCTTTAGCCATTCGAGAGATACAAATCAAAACAACAATGAGATATCATCTCACCACAGCACTTGATAACTATCCAAAGTGATGTACAGATGTAGAGCAATCCCGATCCAGAGTCCATCATCTTAACTTTAAAGAGATGGAAAAACTGATCACCAACTTTATACGAAAAGTTCAAAGAACTTTAGTAGCAAAGTTCAAAAACAGAAAACAGCAAATTCTGGCAAGGTTTTGGAGAGACTAGAACGCATACACTGATAGGACTGGAAAATGGTGCAGCCACTGTGGAAAAATGGTACAGTGGTGCTTTTAAAAACTGGAAGTAGAAATAGCATATGATCCAGCAGTCCCACTACTAGGCACATAAACTAGAGAAAGAGCTATGTTTTGAAGAGATAATATGCACACTCATGTTCATCACAGCACTATTCACAATAGCAGAAAGATGGTATAACCTAAATGCCCACCGCCAGATGAACGGATCAGCAAACTGTGCTACAAACACATAGTGTAGTACTACAAAACATTAATGAACAATGATGAATCTGTGAAACATATCAACATGGATGAATTTAGAAGCCATTATGCTGAGTGAAATTAGTCAGTCACAAAAAGGACAAATATTGCATAAGACCACTGTTATAAAAAAGTCAAGAAAAGGGTTTTCTTTAATATATTCTTTGATGGTTACCAGGCATAAGTGGAGAAGGAAGGGTAAACCACTAACTAGAGAGTGAAAGGAAAGGTAAAAAGAAAAAAGATGAGAAACCAGCCTAATAATTCCATAAGATTTGAGTTGTGTTCCTTTTTTCTTCAAAGTAAATTTTTCTATACTAGTAGAATAATTACTAGTTCAACTGTATTACTTCATGGTTTAAAAAAAAAATCCTGTTACCATCAAGTCACTTCTGACTGATGATGACCCCATGTGTTACAGAATAGAACTGCTCCATAGGTTCATCTTGGCTATAATCTTTTACAGAAGCCGATCACCAGGCCTTTCTTCTTCAGTGCCTCTGGCTAGGTTCGAACCCACAACTTTAGGTTAGTAGACAAGCACCATTTGCACTACCCAGGGACCTCTGACTTTACGATGTTGTTGTGAGCTATCAACTCAGTTCCAACTCATTGCATCCCTATTTAATACCAGGTATAAATTCCATCTTAATTATTTGTCTCTCTACCCATGTGCCAACCAAGTTTATCCCCTTTTCCTGCTTTATTTTTCTTCATAGCACTTACATCAGTCACGGTTTAATCAGAAAAGTAGAACCAGTAGAAGATATAAACAAAGGTTATTGCAAGGAATTATTTTGCAATTGTAGGGGCTGGCTAAGCAAGTTGGAAAAAAAAAAAATTATTAAAGCAAATAGGCAAGCATGTCAATATATATATTCTTTTTTCTAGACTGGATATGAAAAAAATATGACACCAGGACAAAATAGAGAACAACGAGAAAGGTAATGCAGAAACCAGTTAGCAGTTTTGGTTTTGAGGTATTTGGTTATAGACCAAAGTAATATATCAGTTGTTTTTGTTTTCTTTTTCTTTGCTAGTGGTTTTCCATACCCAAATTTTAGTATACCTGCAGCTAATGGATTATCTTCTGGTGGTAGTGGAGGTGGCAAGATGAGACGAGAAAGAACATGCTTTGCTGCATCTAAATCTCCAGAAGAAGAGGTAGGGATACATTCTTAAATACTCTTGAAGTTTATTAAAATCTTTGTTGTGGTGATGTTGGAGTCTAGGAAGTCCTCAAAACAAGAATAATCTGCCATTGAAACTGTCCCTTCAAAATATTGGTGGTTTTTTTTTTTTTTTTTTTTTTTGAAAGCCCAGAACACTTAACATGGTTATCGGTTATCATAAATAAGAGAATTGCAATTGAAATGTCAGGGCTTTTGAACTGGTTCTTCTTGATTTAGTCATGGCTGACGAAGCAAAATTAGAACAGAACTGAATTTGTGAAATATGGGTGTGCTGAAACAATAACAGTAAAAATTATAGGTCAACATCCTTTATCTCTCCCTCTTAGAAAACAAGGGCATTATGCACATTGCATAGCAACCAAACCTCAGGAATGACAGAGTCAGAAACAACAATGCCTGGCACAAAGAGGGCCAACTGAACTGTTTTGAATGTGTGTTGCTCCCCACGGACTTGGCATAATCTAAGCATCCACATCAGGCTCGCTAAGCCTCTTCCAAGTCTCTCATTCTAATTTTTCCCATTGTGATTATTGTTCCAATAAACTCAACATCTTACAAATTCAGGTCTAATTTCACTACAACAGCCATGACTAAACCAGCTTGAACTGGTTCGAAGCTGTGGAAATTGTTTGACCCTTTATTCACTGTGTATTTCAGATTTTCCTGTTTCTGACATTTATATAAATAGATCAGCCCTTTTCAGTACCTATAGATTATTTAACTTCACTGCTATGTATTTATCCAGTATGAAGATTTACCTGAATTAATCCATTTAATTCTCAGTGTACATTTGGGTTTATTCCTATTTTGGTTTTTAGAATACATGTAAAGAGCATGTTTACGCACTTCTCCCTGTGCACATGTGCAATATTTTCTCTCAAGTATTTATTTACTTAGAAATGGAATAGTTGGATTGTAGTAGGTGATAAATGTCTGCAAATGTATTAATTGTTGCCATATATCTCTTCAGGGTAGTTTCACAATTTAACATGACCATGTGGGAGTATGGTCAACCCACTTTTTCTTTATCCTTACTGACCTTTAAATTTTTTCTTAATTGATGTGTATGAAGTGGTATGGCACTGGAGACTTATTTTACATGTTCTTGTTTACTGTGGAGGTCAGACATGTTTTGTATATTTCTTCACCATTTGGAATTTTCTCCTTGTGAAAATCACGTTGGTGTCATATCCTTTTTTGTCATACACATTTTTTTCTGTTGAGTTCTTTGTTTTTGTTAGGAACAGTTTTTTGTATTCAGAACATGAAACTTTGAATAGGACAGGGATTACTTGAAGATGGGTTATTTTTTCTTTATAGTTTATTCTATTTGTTTTCTAACTACTTCGGGTTGAATGCAGATCTTGTTGCAGACTTTTTATAAACACATTAAAGACTAGCTTTAAAGTTTTGATACATGGTGCTTTGATTTGTCATTTGTTTCTGTTTAAAGTTTTCATTCCTGACTTCCTCATTGACCCTTGAGTTTTTTAAATGTTTTCAGATTTTAAGCCACAAGAGTCCTCTTTTAACAGTGTCTCTTAACTATGAAAACATGTTTGGATTGAACATGTTGGATGTATTTGTGTTAAATATCTCCATGTCTATTGATATTTTGCTTTGTAAGACTTACTTAGAATGACAGGCCTTTCTTTTCCCACTTTCTCTTCCTCATTAGCAGTTTGGTAGTTGTGCCTGTGATTGATTAGAATCACCAGAATCACAGCTTATTTAAGTTTGGATTAAACTTATAACCTGTCTTTTCATGATATTTAAAGTATGGCAGCAGCCTTGGCTCAGGTACTGGTATTGAAGCTGTGTCTTCCCTTTCTTAGATTCTGCTTGTTGCTGTGCTGGTTATTTTAAAAGAAGGAAAGTGTATTGATGCATTCTACCATTTTGAAAGAAAAATTCAGTCTTTGAATACAACATGTAAAATCTTATAAATTTTTTTAAAGTTATTTATGTGGCCTTTATAATTATTTTTAAAATGAGTTATTTATCTTACCTTATATAAAGAAATTAAGGTGCTCTGGTGGCATAGTGCCTAAGGCATTTGACTGCAAACCTACCTGCTACTCTGTGGAAGGAAAACTGGGCAATCTACTTCAGTAAAAATTTACCGCCTTGGAAACCCAATGGGGGTCACTATGAGTCAGAATCAACTTGATGGCAGTTTGTTTTTCTTTGGTTTTTATATAAATAACTTAGTATTTGATTAATATAGGATAGACTTGTTCTTCAGAAAAGCTTTTACGTATCTCAGTAAAATTTTGAGGCCCTGCCTTTTTCTATTTATTTGTTGCTGAATGAGGAAATCATTATCTTGCTTTAGTGTTTGCCGGATGGATTATGTGGATTATTCTCATTTCCCTCCAGTTTCAGTATTTTAAAGATAAAATTTCTCTCTAAGATACTAAGCTAAAACTCATGTTGGTATTGGTAGCTCAGTTTTAGCTGTCTAAACTGTGTGTGTGTGTGTGTGTGTGTACTATAATTTTGCTTTATTGACAAAGTTTTTTTGTTTTTTCTTTAATTTTGTTTTTGTCTGGAATACTAACTGTCATGAGTTTTATGAGTGGCTAATCCTATAGACCTCTTTCACCTCCTTTCTTCTCTGGACCCCCTCTCTCCATTCCGACCAACTACCACCTGCCAACTTTACATCCCAGGATGCCTCCTCATCCAACCCCTCTGTCCCTGGCTCTGTTTCACACTGGAGTGATAGTCTCCACATTTCTGAGGAAAAAGGTACTCAAGGGGTAGATACCCCAAATTTTCTGCTCTCCACCTCTATACTTTATCTAGGTGTAGGGTAAGTTTAGATAGACACTTTTGTATCACATGTGCCTTTTTTGTTTCAGATGTCCAGTGTATTCAAACCACTAGTTGTTTCTTAATTTAGTTACAGTTAGAATTTTTATTAAAAGGTTATAGATTCATCTTCGTATTTTTTTAATTTTTTTTTTATTTTTAGTTTTTATTTTTATAGTGTTCCCTCCCCTCCCATCCCACCCCTTGTAACCAACAAAGAAAGTTTCCTTCCATATAAAAACTTTTCTTTGACTTTTTACGATAATGAACTAATAAAATATTTGTCCTATTGTGATTGACTTATTTCAGTCAGCATAATGTCCTCCAAGTTTATCCACGTTTGTGGTGTCTTGCAGAGTCTACATTATTTTTCAGTCTTGCATAGTATTCCATTGTGTGTATGTACCATAGTTTGGTTATCCATTCTGTTGATGGGAACCAAGGTTGTTTCCATCTTTTAGCTATTGTAAATAGTGTGGTGGTGAACATGGGTGTGCATATATCTGTTCTGGTCCTGGCTCTCACTTCTTTAGACTATATACCTAGTATTGGATTGCTGGATTGAATGATATTTCTAATTCCAACTTTTTAAGGAATCACCATACTACTTTCCACAGTGGTTATGTCATCTGACAATCCTTCCAGCAGTATGAGAGTCCCAGTCTCTCCACATCTTCTCCAGTGTTTATTATTTTTTGTCTTGTTGAGCTTTGCTGTCAGTGCTGGGGCAAGATGGTATCTCATTCTGATTTGTATCTCTTTAATGGCTAATGATCGTGAACATTTCTACATGTGTCTTTTGGCTGCCTGAATATCCTCTTTGGTGACATGTCTGTTCATGTCTTTTGCCCATTTTTGAATTGTATTGTTTGTCTTTTTGTTGTTGAGGTGTTGGAGTTTTCTATAAATTTTAGCGATAATTCCCTTGTCATATATGTTGTTGCTGAATATTTTTCCCTAACCTGTATGTTCTCTTTCTATTCTTGGAAAAGTCTTTGGAAGCACATAAAAATTTAATTTTTAGAAGGTCCCATTCATCTAGTTTATCTACTGCTGTTTGTGTATTTTGGGTTATGCTTGATAGTCTATTTATGCCATAAAAGAGGGCCCCTAAATTTGACCCTATTTTTTCTTTGAGGAACTTTATAGTTTTAGGTTTCACATTCAAGTCTGATTCATCTGGAGTTAGTTTTTGTGTGTGGTTGAGGTACAGATCTTGTTTCGTTTTTCTGCAAATGGATTTCCAGTTTTGCCAGCACCTTTTAAAGAGACCATCTCTTCCCCATTTAATGGATTTCAGCTCTTTGTCAAAAATCAGCTGACCGTAGGTGGATGGATCTATTTCTGGGTTCTCGAGTCTGTTCCACTGGCCTGTGTGTCTGTCGTTTTACCAGTACCAGGCTGTTTCGACTATTGTGGCTGTATAGTCGGTTTTGAGATCTGGGAGTGAGATCTCCTACTTTGTTCTTCTTCAATAGTGCTTTGCTTATCCAAGTTCTCTTTCTTTTCCATATAAAGTTAGTGATTGGTTTTTCCATATTCTTAAAGAATGTTGTTGAGATCTGGATTGGGATTGCATTGCATGGATAGATTGCTTTGGTAGAATTTGGGTAGAATTGACACTTTCACCATGTTCAATCTTCCTATCCAGGAGCATGGGATGTTCTTCCATTTATGTAGATCACTTATAGTTTTTTGTAGTAGTGTTTTGTAGTTTTCTTTGTACAAGGCTTTTGTGTTCCTAGTGAGATTTATTCCCAAGTATTTTGTTTTTTTTTTTGGTAGCTATTGTAAATGGTAATTTCCTTTTCAGCAATCTCTTTGCTGGTGTAGAGGAATCCAGCTGAATTTTGTATATTGATCTTGTATCTGGCCACTATGCTAAATCTCTCCATTAGTTTCAGTAGTTCTTTTTGTGTGAGATGCTTGGATTTTCTATGTATAGGATCATAACATCAGCAAATAGGGATAGTTTGACTTCTTCCTTACCAATTTGGATTTCCCTTTTTTGCCTTATTGTGCTGGCCAGGACTTCCAACCCAGTGTTGAATAGAAGTTGTGATAGAGGGCATCCTTGTCTGGTTCCTGTCTGCAAGGGCAATGGTTTCAGTCTCTCTCCATTGAGAATAATGTTGGCAGTTGGTTCTGCATATATGT